TTTAACACTTTACCGATTGAAAGCTGTCTGTGCTTGCAATTTCCATATGATTTATGTTTAAAAATAAGTCCTTTGAAAAAAAGGGAAAAAATATTTAAAGTAGAAAAGGAGATGGATATATAATATACAAATATACACCTCTTTTAATTTGCCTTGGACCTTCAAATTAAAATTCTATCCGCAGGCCAGATAAAACTTCCGGCGGGCCGTAGTTGGCCCATCCTTGGTGTAGCCATTATTTGCTTTGAAATCTTTGAGTTTGTTAATCAAAAGTTCATTTATAAAATATGAAACATATAATAAAACAAATTCAAAATTCAAATTTGGGCTTCCAGATGCCCATATTCGAGTGGAGGATTATGTTATTCAAAATTTGATGTCTCTAGGTACTGTTGTTTTTTCACAGTGCGAGAAACATACATACATTCATGCAGATTCTTCATTATTTAATATATGCATGGCTCTAATATTGGGTGGCAACAATCTGAAAAGTCTGAAAAGTGAAATGTCGTTTATAGTAAACCAATGCAAATTGCCCCTTGGGCTAAAAAAGAGTGAGAATTACAAAATTTTACCACACGCATACCCCCCCCAAACTTTTCATAATGTCAGAATTGATAAATATTTTTTTCATTACTGTGGTAAGCAAACCATTTAGCAAATAATGAAATTATTTAGATTACTTTGATTGTCAGGCAGTATATATAAAAGCATATGTTTATAAAATAAATTTAACATAATTTCAAAATGTAAAATTTGTATTATGACTTGAAAACATTCATATACAATTACATATAAAATTTTTACATCAAAAATGCTTTCTGAAAGCTTACTACATAGCCCTAAATATTGTTTAATCCATTATCCTGCTGATAATGTAATTTTAGAACCAGTCAAAGTTTGAAATAACAATGCAATAATAATTTTTAGCATATCTGCAACATTTATAAATACACTTCAAACTAAGTACTATTCCACAATTACAACTAAGTTATATTTTGAAAAAGAATTAAAGTACAAAGTCCAAGATCCCAAACTATAGGAACTTCGGGCATTCTGTATTTCAGAAATTTTCAGAATTTAGATCTTCAGTTTAAATCTAGTAAAATGATGCATAAAAATTATAAAATCAAAAATTTGAAATGGTTGTTTGGGAAATAATAAAGCATTCATGAGCTTAAAGGAATCAAAATTTACAAAAAAAGGGGGGGACTCAATAACAGCATTTATTTTGGTTCATTAAACATTTCTTTTAACATAAATTGTTTAAGCAAGTTTTTTTTTTCCCTGAGTTAATAATTTCTGTTTAATTTTACATATTAGTCTATTGATTTTATATAGATCATAATTGTTCAATTGCAAAGTACCATCGTTCAAGTTCTGTAAATGTCATTTTGAGAATTTTCACTAGATAGTCAGTTGAAATCTTTTCATTCTCAACAAAGTTTTTATCATTTTCTTCACCAGTGATGGTAATAATTTCTAGATTTAAAACATATTTTACCAACCACTGATGCCCAGGGCATTGTCCTTGCAACAAAAACTTTAGCTACATCATTTTCATTTAGCATTTCTTCCTATATTTCACTAACTGAAAACTCATTAGTCTGTGGTTTCATTTCTTTCCCAATGCAATCACATTTCTTATTTAATCATAACTGTGTGGTTCCCTTTACACTGCAATGGGTTTTATGATTTTGATATGCAAAGTGATGAACAAGTAGCTATTCTATTTCTTCAAGGCACAAAGATTGTGTTTGAACAACCACTTTGTGTAATTAAGAAGAAATTTAAGCCAGAATGGCAATATTTTCTATACTTAAAACCATACTACTAATGTGGCATACCTGTTGACTATCTGACTGAGGTTGAGTCATCACAATAGAAACCTAATAGAAACAATAGAAAAGTCATATTACCTTCATATATTCCATTGACTGAAAAATTTCACTTTCTGCTTGAGATATTCAAAAACCTTTAAGCTTGTGGCTATCATTATCATCACCAGTATGATAAATTAACACAGCTTATAACTTATGTCTAAATGATGAATGAGCAGTTTCACAGAAAAAGTAACAGAGAGATGTTATCTTTTACTAATAATTTAATTTTAATAGACAAAATAATAAGCTGGATCAAATCAAAAAGTTAAGAGCACAATTCATAATGCTTGTTGAGTTTAAGTTTATTGAAATTAATATATTAGAATTATTTTGTCCTCCTATCCTGCTATATACTGACAAATGAAAACCAGTAAACAGCATTCCATTCCAAACATTTCTCCTGTACAGGGTTAGATAAGAGAGAAAAAAGCTGTCTCCTTATAATCACTCAAGGGCTGGAAACAAAAATGTGATTTGCCAGCAAATGTTTAAAGAAAAATAACATGAAAGATGATTTAATACTGTCATGGATAAAAATGTTTCTCAGCAGAAGAAATCTCAGTGACTGAGGAGAAAAACTGACTTAGCCTCACTTGCTATTTCTTCTATTTTTCATCCACCATTCATTCCTACACTGAGTAACAAAAAGAAAAAAAAATTGAAATTGAAATATGGGAGGTCTGGGTAATATATTATTCTAGTTATTGGAACATCTGGATTTCAGACTTTGTACTGTATACATATCACTTTTCCCCCTATTGACACATTCTTTAATTTACATGATATATAGTGATTCATATCACAGATAATATGTAACAATACCATTTAAACTGATTCATACTTTTCTAAAAGATAATGAGCTTACTAAGTTTAGTGGAATTGAGAAAATTATTAACTCATCGCGAAAATAACTTGACAAAATAATATTTGAAAGTGGTTATAAAAATACAAAATTAGAATGTTTAAAAATTACAAATGAACAAATTTAAAGAAGGGGTAGTTAAAAATTAATTAATGAGAATTCTTATGTGAGCATTTGAGATATCTCAAATACGTTTTTATATTATAACAGGTAATACAAAATTTTAAAAAAATGCATGTCTAAATAATATTAATATTATATTGCAAACAAGCTAAAAAGCATTCATTATGATATCAAAGGGCTTGTATGAAGTAAAAATTGCATAACTTTTGCAAAAACAATTAAAATTTTAATTACATTTATTAGTACCTGAATTAACCCTTTGAGGGACGGTATATAAAATAATTTAAACTGTGGTAAAATTTTGCATGAACTATAACTTATGGACCCTAAGGACACAAAATTGAGATTTAAAAAAAATCTAGAGCGAAATCATGAATTTTGAGAGCCGGTATATATTTTATACCGGCGCCCCTCTAGGACATTTTTTTCCAAGTAGCTGCCAACTAGTTAATCTTTGTTTTTTTAAATTAATTTTGGGTACTTTTGATGTGCGTCTGTAGTGATGAAGTGCTTGAAATATAATTATGTAAAGTCTAAAGACAAATTTTTTTTTAAATTTCGGCAGAAATTTAAAATTTCAAAAATAAAATTTATGTTTTTATGCGCTTTGATGATTCAACCCAACTGAACCATACTTATGTAAAATATGGGTAAAAAGCTTTTCAACTTGATTTAAATTCAATATTATTTTATAAAAAATTTCGCAAATATAACACTGCATGTGTAAATCGTATCATGCTGTAACTGAACTAGTATAATATTACAAGCAGATGTAACTCAGCTGAAAATTAAAAAAATTGGAAAATGAAGCACTACGACTGACTCAGTTGAGAAAGTATGTTGCATATTTGAAGTTATATTTTATGCTTTAGATAATATGTGAAAAACACCATGCTTCATACTATGATACGAAGAATCGCCCCCCTCCACGCACACACACTTTAGATCATCGAGGACCGCAAGGGTCCCTTTTTTATTTTTTGTAAATATAGGTTGTAATATATCCTTTTGTTCAGAAAGAAACGCCATTAAACAATTTTATTATCTGATACACCTCAAAGCTCTTATTCTGATTTTCAACCCCTTTGGCTTCATAGGGGCTCTTTTTCAACTTTTGGATAAATTTTAGTTTGCATCTAAAACGGGCCTTAGAAATATTTTTCCTCCTTTCGCCAACTGTGAAAATTTATTTCCGAAACAATCTATTTGTATCAACCAGACCGCAAATTTCTCTTGTGTTCTCTAGTTTTTCATCTGAAATTAACAAAGAATTTCTCTAAAGAATAAAAGCATGCTTTCAAACTAGCAGTTTTTGTGATTACTCTATGAGATGGACCTTAAGTACATTTCCATTTAAAGTGAGCTTTCCCTTTGTGTGATCTTATCACACCTCACAAAGGGAAGAAGGCATCACTCCCGAATGACAAATTGGTTGTCAATCACCTCTTTTCATTTTATTGCATTCTAGGATTTTGGAAAACAGGAAGCAACAGGTGTCTTTTGGGGGCTAGCATGCTACGTTTAACCCCGAAATTGTGTAAAGTTTTGACCCCAGACGGTAATTTTGAAATCGATGAGTCTTTCTCTTGGGAAAAGGATAAGTGCTGAAATAAAAATTTTAGCTAAACACAGACAAATGAAACTTGAGCTGAGTACACAAAAAGAATAAATGAAACTAATAAATATACTTGTATTCAGTCCTAGCGCAGCATCAGTAAACTCCCCATTCCTCCATGAACATAATATTTAATCCTAAATGACTTATAAATTAATCATGAAAAATTATTACATCACAACTGTTACAATATAAAGAAATTCTGTCATGTCAAGAGAGAAAAGGAGAAGACTGGTGCTGCCATCTATTGGCGTGGTACCCTCAGTGTGGGCGCCGGTATATATTATATACCAGTTTTAAAATCGTATAAATAATTGTCTGTTAATTATCACTTCTGACTGAAATGAAGTAAATATATAAGATTCACCATGTGTACGTCATATATTTGCAGATTTTGAATTTTTTCTTTCCCTCCAATAGAATTTAATCAATCTCCAACATGATACCTTGGAACGAGGTATATTAATGTCATAACTGTAAAATATTGAGCTTCATAGGGTGATGTTGCCATTTAGAATTGAAAGAAAACACTAGACACTTACAATTATAGCTTTTGGTTTTGTAGAAAAAATTAGCATTTTTTCGGAGGTTAAAAAATTGGCAAACAACCGGTATATATTATATACCGGTGCCCTTCAAAGGGTTAAATGTGCAGATTTTTAAGAGAAACCAACTGAACAATTTAACAAGATTAAGAAAAACAGTTCAGATAAATCCATATCATTAATACTTTTTCAGCTATATAATTAACTAACAATTTTAAATAATCGCTAAATTTTGGAGATATAATATTAATTTCCATAACAAATATAAAGGGCCATAATAACGTTGTGTATTACCTTAAATTTAACAATCAAAACAAGTAAAAAAGAAATCCTAAATTCATTTCTAATTAAACATAAAAAAAGATAACAAGGGGCAAACATATCCCCTAAATACATGTTTCAAACTTTTATAAACACACAGACAAATTCACTTATTTCAATAAATGAGCAGAAATGTAAAAGCAAATGATGGAATGAAAGTATCTGAAGTAACAATCCACATCTAACAAGCAATATAATTCTTATATTAGCTTACAATTTCTTTTCAAATTAACCTGATTAACCCATAGAGATAATGAAGGAATTTCAAGATATTCCAGCCATTAGGTCCACTAAATTTTCTAAACTCATCTGTACACCATCTCTGTCTTGGAAGCCACACATATGAACTTGCCACTTTCTTCCATGAAGCACTCCATGAAATAAATGTGCAATCTAACAAACATATGCGAATAGATTTTTTGAATTGTTAAAATTAATAAAATTTTCACAGTAAGTAAATAATGATGAGTAAAGTACATAGGAAATATTCCTTTATTTGTCACTGTAAGACCAACTGTTTAGTTCATTTATCTGTCATTTAGAAATTTTACACTTTTAATCAATTAAAAAAACTGCATTTAAAAACTTGGAAAAGCATATATGATAATATATTATACATGAAAGGATAACAGGATGTAGCAAATTTTCTTTTTAAATGAAATAATTTAAAACCAAACAATGTATCAACCACCCTTTTTTTACTAATCATCAGTAATAAAGTATTTTTAGAAATGTAGATGTATATTCCCAGTCAGTAGTATATATCTGGTGTAATTTGCAAATGTGACAATAGAAAGTAAATAGTTGAAGCAAACACATATATTTTACAATGAATTACTTACAAGATATACATAATAGCCTACAGGGCTTATAGTAATAAATTTAATAAATAACTATAATAAAAAGTGAAGGTGATGTAATGTGGGACTTAATTTGCCAATGGAAAGGAATTAATAATGCCCTCTATCATGAGAATGAACAAATGTTTTGTGTACATTATCATACAATTAAATTTTTATTCCTCTGAACTTATAAAGCCAATCTCAAAGTGAATAAAGGTAAAGGAAATGAACTTCCATCAGATGTTATATACACATACACAGATAAAAATGATAAAATATATGTACACCCAAGTCCAAATTTATCTCTACACCCCAAAAATAACAATATTTCATGAAATATCTAATCAATAGCATTCATTTTGGCAGGGAAGTGTGAAAGACAAGCCTTAAAATTATCTAATCAAAAGTGATAAATGGTTTCTGATATGCAATTCAAAGCATTATGTAATTTGATGGTGAATCAAACACTTTCTGCAAAGTGAATATCTGAGTGAATTGTTGTAATACAATGTTTGATTTCAGCATGTAAAAACTCAAAATGGTTTGTTATGGCTCCAAAGTACACTTGGAGGAATTTGTGATATGGCGAATGATCTGCCGTTAGGAAGCAGAACAGACAAGCATGGAAGCAATAAGATATGTGACTATTTCAAGATGGACAATCTCTATGATAAAGAAACAATTTCAGAGCCCTGGAACTATTATAAGGTCTGGACAATGATGTAAATGAATAAGAACTGCTTTTTAAGATTGATATCTGGTAATAACTGCCCATCTTACAGGAATCTACTACTCAGCAGTTACGTTCAGAGCCTGCAGCTACCACTAGAACCATTGTATTATGGCAAACTGTATAAGGAAGACATAACAAGAAAGGCTTTTACACCAGGAAGCCAAGGGCGTGTGTTTCACTGTCTTCAAAATAAAAGAGGGATAACTTTAAGTGGTCCAATGAACATCAGAACTAGAATGAATACCAGTACTCCCAATTTCTCTTTACTGAGGGCTCAAGATTTAGTTTAACATGCTTCTAAATGTGTTTACATATGGAGGAGGTCAGGAATAAATCTTTCTTTGAACATTATGGAATATGATTGCTCCAGTGATGTAGTTGTGATGCTATGGAGAGAAATAATAATTGATGAATATATACTCCTATATGTTTTCAACAATGGAGCAGTGAGAGGCCAGAGATATCAAGACGAGGTCTTAGACATATATGTAAGACTTTTCGGAGGTGCTTATAGATCTAATTTTTTATTTATGGATGATAATGCTCATCCACGAGAAGCAAACTTCGTTGATGAATTCCTTGAAAGTGAAGACACAGAGTTAGTATCATGCCCAACAAATATCTTTTGATTTTAACTTGATAGAGAACTTATGGAACTACTTTGGGAAAGCAGTGGCACAGAAATACTTTTTTTCCTAGAGAAGTATATGCCCTGAAGACCACATCGCTTCACAGTGTACCTCCCCAAAATTTAGTTACAATGTTATGACCAGCATGACAACACATTGCGATATGTGTGGATAAGTCAGAAAGATCACATTCTATATTAAATTCTGAACTCTCCTTAAAACTTATTATTTTTTCATACTACAGTTTTATATAACATGGATCGCTCTTAAATATTTCCCTTTGCACTTATGTGTTCTGATATTATGTATTATTCCACACAAATTCATAAAATTAAAGTTTACAGTTTCTGAGACATCCATGATTTCATGCAGGTAAAGATAATTTTAAACATGAGAGTATATCAGCCGAAAGTGGCAATCTATCTATATTCTATTCTAAAAATCAAAATTCAAATTAAAGAATTACCAACATTGTAAAGACATACCGAAAGATAATAAATTAGATTTGTTTTATTATCTTTGAAAAGAATCTTCCCAAGATGGTTAGCTATCTAATTCGAATTTTTGTTTGGGAATTTGTGGTTTCCTATTAGACATATTGCTGTGGTTTCCTATTAGACATTCTGCTATTTTTGTTCGATATATGTTCTACATATGTTATCTCTTTTAGTAACCCTTATACGCCGAGTGTCACACAGATGTGCAGCATAAAATGCACTAATTTTACGGCTGGTACAGCAGTGTGATGGAACCTTTTCTCATTCACCCCTGTCCATCACACATTCATATCGAAGTTTTGGAACCTTTTAGAAACTAATATTTTTTGCACGAGATGGTGTTATATGTTTATAGGATTTGAGGTACGTATAGATTTGACTTTTGACATGAAATGAGATGAAGATAAGTCACACATACTTGGATTCTTATTCTATAAAAAGGAAAAAGGCATCTTCTCAACTCACAAGCTTCCTGGCAGCTCTGTATCAGCACACTGTATTTATTGATAAATGTTTTTTTTTTTTTTTTTTTTTTTTTTTTTTTTTCACCAGAACATTGGGCATTTCTGCAAATGTGGTATTTATTAATAAATTACACACACACACTAGAGTGTTGGTTGTTTGAGTTTGCAGTCCAGATTTTAATTTAAAATTTTTTAATGTTCATTTTACTAAAAATGAATTTTAAGTAAAATGTTAAGTTGGTAAATGTAAAATGTCAAAAGTTACTAACAGGCAAATAATTACTAAAAAAAAATTAATGTACAAAATAAAAATATATAAACCCCCAAAAAATTAAGTATATGAAATATGTAAATAAAAATATATAAAGCATATACTGCATATATACTCTACAGAACATTATTAAAGAATGCTATCATCTTTTTATAATTCCTTTGATTTAGATTAAGTAGTGAAAACCCTCTGGCCCTGGAGAGATGCTTGTGAAAGAAACAGCCGTCACCAGTGGTACATGTGCACTTATGCCTTTTATTTCAGAAAGGTTAATTAATTAATTTTGCATGATATTAATATATTTATTTAATTAAATGTTCTTAATTTCTTTATCTTTATATATTCTATGGACAAACAGTGTGCCTTAAGAAGTAAAACCTTTAGCTGTATGAATATCTGTCTTTTGTATATGTGTTCAAAAGATATTCAAAAAAAATTTTTTTTAATCTACTAACTCTACCTTTGGCTATGATGCTCATAGCAACATTTGGTCTTAAGCGGTAATTTGCTATTTATTTTATTCCTGATAAAACAAACTCAGTAACAACCATGAGTCACTTTTCAAAGTTATGAAGCATGTGCTACAAATTTTCAGTGCTAGTACTCTTTGTTAGATGACCAGATGTCCATGCATGCTATGCACTGGATCATGTATTGCACAATGGATTCCATGGCATCAATAATCTTAATTTTCAATTTGAGCGCAGGTAGGATTAAAAGGTATGTGAATCTAAAATACATGCTATGCAAACTCGACAAATTTCCAAAATTTCAAAACACACAAAAAAAATTGTACTTATATATTATTGTAATCACTTTAGTAGAAGTCACCAAATTGTTAGATTATCCTTAACTTTGGCTATGATACTCATAACAATTCTTCAGTCAAGCAACACTGTCATGCTCTCATTCATTCTTTTTGTTGTATTCCAAATTCCAACTGTTTGTAGAAACAAATTATGATATTTTTTCCATAAATTCAATTTTAAAATATGCACTTGTTGAATTTGCCAGAAATGGAAGGAACTGCAGTAAAATGTCTGAAGGAATACAGTATTAAGCTGCAAAATCATTTAAAAAAACAATAATGAGGTGCATTTCATAGTTAACCATTGAACAGCAAAGTTGTGCGTAATGCCAAGTTTGTGCGATTGTCTGATTTTTTTAAGCAAAACAGATAGGCACATGGGAAGAACAGAACAAAAAATTATCGAAGGATTTCATGAAAAATAAGTATTTTTTTAATGTATCATATAATTTTTATTTGATAATTAAAATATGTATTTTAAATTTTTAAGTTTGCTTGTTTGTTTTCTTTTGATAAGTTGACAATGTTTTCCATTTTATGATAAATATCAATAAGAATAGTTTTTAAAAAAGTTACAAAAATTGTAAACTTGCACGAGATGAATAATTTTTACTTTTTCATCTGTAAAATATCACCAAAATGTGCCAAGGTTGCTGCTTTAATATAAAAATACCAAAAAAGGTTTCTGTTGCCATTTTACACACTACCACAAAATTTGCATCCCAAAATTTCAATCAAAGTTCATTATGCATAAAATTAAAATTTTCCCAACTGTTACATATAAATTGTATTCCACTTACCAATGATAGATCTACGCGAACATTATAAAACACAGCTGATCATTTTTACACACCGTATATACCAGAAAATATCATGGAATGTATTAATTTTCAGTAGCCCAATTCAGAAAATGTAACAGTGTGGATATTTAAAAAATCACAGCAATTTGAAACAATACATTTTAAAAACTGTAAATATTTGAAACATTACATAATGTAATCTAAGTAGATCCCAATAAGTGAACTTAATACACACATGCACATCAAATGTATATAAAGCCTTACTCTAGTACAAATTTAACTCAAAATTCATGCATAATACTGAAGCATTTTCTATGAACAGATATTCTGTCTGCAGCAAAACTGCAAA